ATTTCAACTTAAAATAATTCAAATTTCCAGGAGGTTTGAGAATCTAGAAGCTAGGCAGATTGCTTAAAGGTAAAGGGGAGAGAATTGAACAAGAACAGGTGTGTGTCTCTAGTTGCATATAATGGATTCTCATGGACCATGGTTCATTTACAATGCTGCACTTTAAACAGGTTTTAGAAATGGTGGAGAAAATATTTAGATCAAGTCGGCTACTTGCACAGTCTCTACACAGGCATGGTCCACCAACATGGGTGTTTTCACAGCCTTCCACATCAGACCTCTTCTCACGACTGTGTGGTTGTGCATAGATTGTGCTTGACTGGCATCTTCCCGACTCTCCAGTTAATTTTATTGTACAGAGAGGGACAATTAACACTGTAGACACAGGACTTTTCACAAATGATAATTTGGCATAGGCCTTGATGTAATTCTCCTGTCATTAATTTTATTAGTAACACCTGGGCTTTTCCTGTTTGGTCTATCTGTTTTTACATTTCAGATTGAAATGTAAAGGATATATTCAATTATTATTTCTAGGCACAGTATAATTAGAGGTATATTAAATTAGAATTTTAGTTGTGAAAGTGTAGGCTAATTAGTGATTTCTTGAATTTTTTATGGGTCAAAAATGCCCCATAAATGTTTAAATCTTTATGTAAAATCTTTATTATGTTAAAATAGTTTACCATTAAGACATTCTGTACTGACGGTGTCTGGTTGGATCTCAGCCTCACTTGAACATTTGCTTCCTTGCTGAGGAGAAGAGGGACTGACTATTCCTTCATGTTCGTACTCAGCCCGACGGGCCTGGGAGCAGGAAGTGCTAGTTGACCAAACTGAGCTAACCAGCTAATTTTAGTCAGATAGTTTAGCTCGGCATTTAACTCGATTGTCACAATGGGACTGTTCGGCAGAACACCGGAGAAACCACCAAAAGATCTGGTGAGTACTGGCAGCTGAAGACTAGGACTGTCTTCTTGTTTTGTCCATAGTAAGAAAAAACGACAAAGCCTTTAGCTAACCTTGCTAACGTTAGCTGTCAGTGTAACTCAGCTTCGTTCAAACTGTTGCTACTTTTTGCTAGTTGACTAGCTGACGTTATTCTTGTTAAACAAAAGACAACACTCCCTGTCACGTTAAACTGTGTTATTTCTACTGTTTCTAACGTTACAAGTTTGTTTATACGGCTCATCACCCGACCAGTCAGTGTTATTTTGGCGTGAGTATTTGAGAGATAGCTAGTTAGCATACAAGCTAGCACAAGTATGCTGTCAGTCAGTGTAAACAAACCCCGATTTGGTTCGCTTCAGCTGACATCATGATTTAGCTGTTATACATATGTCATACATTGTTTTGGTCTAATGTTCCTCATATGTTGAGACATTACATGCATACTGTAACTGTTAAGGTAATAATAATGCAGCTTGTAACAACACAATGTGTCGTTTTAGATCAATGAATGGTCTCAGAAAATCAGGAGGGAAATGAGAGTGATTGACAGACAAATTCGAGGTAAGATACAGTCAGCATTTGACACTATCAGAGAACGACTGTAAATATCTAATAGATAGATAAATAGTATAATACTCATTAAGTGTGTATTCAATTTATAGCTCTACTTCCATTCAGTTTCTAAATCAGTCTGAATTTAATTTAGCAATTAACTATTTGAAAACAAATGGACGAAATAATTACAGTAATTAGAATATCTTGAAGCAGAATCTCAGAAGGACACTTTGAAATTAAAACACATTGAGTTGACATGACAACTACTGAGTTATCTTATTGGCCAGAAAGGTGTCAAATAAAATAATTCCACTAGAAAAATATAATTATTAGAGGCAGTGTCTCAGTACAGTGGTAAATCTGAACTGTTGAATAGTTAACAAATGAATAATTACACACTGCAGTCTATGACCTAATAAATAAATAGATTTTTTTTTTTGTGTTGTAAGTAATGACATCCCCTTGTGTTTCAGACATTCAAAGGGAAGAAGAAAAAGTTAAAAGATCCATCAAAGATGCTGCCAAAAAGGGCCAGAAGGATGTGTGTGTGATCCTCGCAAAGGAGATGATTCAGTCAAAACGAGCTGTTACAAAACTTTATGCTTCCAAAGCCCACATGAACTCTGTGCTACTCAGCATGAAGAATCAGCTTGGTGAGTTTGAGAGTACAGCAGCTGGGTCATCACACAAGGGAAAATCTGAAATTCTTTTCTGTCATCAGTAGAATACTCTGCACTTTTATCAAGTTGATGTTCTTCTCAGCACTGTCAGTGAAGGGAATGTATTTGTGTGTTTCTAGCTGTACTGCGTGTAGCCGGGGCCCTGCAGAAGAGCACAGAAGTCATGAAAGCCATGCAGAGCTTAGTCAAAATCCCAGAGATTCAGGCAACCATGAGGGATCTATCAAAGGAGATGATGAAGGTCAGCAGCACCATCCAACATAAATAGAAATTTACAGTCAGGTTGCTACAATAAATGTAACTCTGCAGCTGACTCAGAAAACCAATGAAAAAGTAGTTAAACCATGGCATCATGTACACATATTCATATTTCAGGCTGGTATCATTGAGGAAATGCTGGAAGACACATTTGAGAGCATGGAAGATGGAGAGGAGATGGAGGAAGCAGCAGAGGAGGAAGTTGACAAGATCCTCTTTGAGATCACAGCAGGTAAAGAGATTTGTTAAACTAAATGACAGTTCATTGTTACTTTCCTATTTTATAATAAGGCTTTGATGTCTAACATCTCTAAGAATTTAAAGCTGAACCGCAGATTAGAATATACCGCAAATTGGTAACATGGAAACTTTGTTTCATGATCATTTTTGCTTTGTTAGGTGCCCTTGGCAAAGCGCCAAGCAAAGTTGTAGATGCCCTGCCCGACATGGAGCCATCTGGAGCCACGGCAGCTTCAGAGGATGAATCGGAGGAGGACATTGAAGCAATGCAGTCGAGATTGGCAGCTCTGAGGAGCTAAGTTGAACTGCCACTGTGGTGTCACTTTGCTCAATCCATAAAGGACAAAGAATTCTGGTGCAGGGTTTACAGTACTGAGCAGCCTCTGTGCTTCATATTAAAATTATTATTTCACATAATCAGTTGGGGTTAACTTTGTGCTATGACATTTAATGACTTTAAAAATGTTTTTTTATAGAATGTTTGGTTTACTCAGCCAGAAGAAAAGGTGTTTTTGTTTTTTGTCTTTTATTATCAGGGCATAACCCTTGGTAAGTCTTTATTATCCAAAGTCAAACAGAAGGTTTAAGAAAGTGTATATAATGTAAGTATGAAAAGCCTGCTGTGCCTACAGTGTTTCATCATATTCTTCTGTCCTAAGTTATGGACTGATTGGTGGAGGTACAGGGGTATTTATGATCCAAATAATTGATTGAGTAGCTGTTGATGGAAGCCACCCTGTACATGAATCACATCCTAGATTACTATTCAGCAGTAGTTCTAATCTCTTAGAATGCATTTTGTAAGCAGCAGCTGTTCTGTTTACAAATTCTTAACCTGTATTATATGAAACACTCGAGGTGATGGGTGGATTTCTCTTTTGATAGTTAATTTTCTGTACAGTCAAAATGTGTCTATTCTATATGTGGTCATATGTGAAATACACTCATCAGAAAAATGCACGCATACTACCCTAAGCCATTCTTTGCATTAACATTCTGCTTGTTAAATGTTTGGCTTTGTCAGATTGAGTTCATTTTCAGCAGGAAGATGCAGAGGAAATGGAAAAGTTGGTTAGTGCAGAACCTATGTATCGTGGAAGTGTTGTGCTTATACTTTTTCTATGTCAAAGCAGAAAAAATAATGAAATAAACTTTTAAGAAGAAAGGTTGCCAATAAGAAAGATGCATTACATCTCTTTTTGCTCTCAGTGTTGATCACACTGACTTTACACTTAGCCCTTCAGCGTCACAATAAACACTAAATATTAGGTCTGTTGTCAACAGGAATAAGCTTTTAAGCAATAGCACACTCTGCAGGTTAGAAACTGTACTGCAGGGACAATCCAATGCTGTGAACCACAAACATGTCTGGCAGATGAAACAGTTTGCTCAGCTGCTCTGAAACCAAACTGTATAAACAGTAAAGAGTTAAATGACTGAAAGGCTGCTTTCCATCATTCTCTAGTCCAGTGCATGCAATCCACCAATAATCAATAATACTTGGGGTGTGACGCAGAAACTGTCAAATTATTCATTTCTGGCCTTCTTATATCTAACCTGTGACATGATTGGGGTATTACTGTACATCATGTTACACCTGGTTGATTTGGAGTCTGTATATTTCTTTTTTAAGGAGAAATGTAAACCTTTTCACCAGTGCATTTTGGGCCACCCTTGTGTTGAAGCTATTCCCTTGGCTTTAAAAGTGACACAAGGATTAGATTTCTACCAGCCACGGCCCTCAGTATCTTTTTGTTGTACTGTAACAAAACCTAGCCTCTGTTCTCAGGATCCAGTATGTAGGCCAGAGGCTGGACATACTGTAGCTCTAAAAGTGCAGGTGTTCACTAACCTGTGACCAGAGGTTGAGAAAATTCAAGGCCAGGAAGATCTCACTCCTGAACATTTTTATTTAGATTTCAGTAGAAATCCTCTGATTGGTTTAGTTTCCCTAATACTCAAAAAGATAGATTAAACTCAGCTATTAAAGTTAATTCATTCATAATTAAGTGGCGTAAGGCCCAAATGCAATTTATTTATTCAATGACACCACAGACCTGCAAAGGTAAAGGGGAGAAGGTGTCAATAGGGTCATTCAGGCCATAAAGGCATCATATCACATGTAAATACGCTGTGTGCTAGGGAGATTCGTCCCTACTCACCCGGCATGCTGGTTATCTGTGTTGTCTGTGCAATGCAACACTGCCATCTATGGATAATAGTTATGGTCCGCTCGCTGTTTATCCTGCATCACGTTGCTGCCTGTGCGCGTCCAGACGCTGCCGCCTGGACGCGCCTGTCATCTGGAGGAAACTCCTCCCCGCAGACAGCGCGTCCTGTCGCCTCTCCAGCGCAATGGTCTCCTGGATCATCTCTAGACTTGTGGTGTAAGTCGTCTATTTTTCTTTTCTTTTTTTTTTTTTAAATTTGTTTCACTCTATATGCTCTGTCATAGACTATATTAATAATAACAATAAATTGCGGCTCCTGGTCGTTGCGGGTATTTGAGCCGCTCATTGACGGTGCAGCAGCGGTGCGCTTTACAAGCCCCCGCAATTTTGTCTAATATGTAAGCAGAATCAGACGCCAGCGTGTAAGGAGAGCAGATGTCGGTCTATTAATTTTTGACTGAGCAGCAGTGTGAATTCCACAGGATTGTACTTTGCCATTTCAGCAAGAATGCTGAGCTGGGCCTGTATAGACCTCTACTGTATTTCTAAACAGCGATCAGCAGGCTGGTACTCTTTGTGTTTATCATGTGCCCTTTTTTTTATTACAAAGAGGTGACGTGATTGGTTGAGTAATCTATTATCATCCGTTATATGATAATATGAGTCAGATCTAGAAATCAGAGACGTCTTTCAGAGGTAGACGCTTAAATGTCAGTGAGTGGTGACTGAACAACAGGAGCGGTCCTTGAGTGGGGCTATAATCTATGTTGATGTCCCATCTTGGGAAAAAAAAAAAAACCAAAAGGGATGGGTCAGCCTTCTCAGGTTACAAAGCAAGTCAGCGAGTTATTCATGCAATAAAACATATTGGAAAGTATCCCAATGTGTGTGCTCATTGTTAGTTTAAATGAGATTAAACAACAAGACCACATTTATTACAGTGGGTTATAGCTATTTTCACCTGCACAAAGTATGAATCAGCGCCATTACAGACCGTGTGGAGTAAACCAACAGCAGGCCCAACCTCAAAATAGTGAGGCGATTAAATTTAGATTACTAGGTCTTATTACATTAGATTGGATCTTTGCAGCTGTGACTGTTCAAAACATGGTTATATCGAGTCATTTTAGGTCCATGTCTCCACGAGATACCGTTTAGTTGTGTCGCCCAGAGCCGATACATTTGTTTTTTTGAGTGTCCTTGTGTGTCTAAACTCTGTTAGAGAGCCACAGCTAGCTGGCCCGGCCCGAGTGCTGCAACATGATGTGGGTCAGTAATTTGATCAGGTCGAACTCACAGCTGTTGCTTGGCTGTAGCACTTCAACAGGGTGCTGTCTCTGTCCCAGCACCCAGCAGCACAGGTGTCTACACAGGAATAGAAATTTAAAGAAAAGGAAGAAAACACATGTAAACTAATTTTAACCTCATGCCTGGATGCTTGTTGCCTGGAGAGCTTGTGTAGCCCAATCAGCCATGGGAAAAATTGACTTTAGGCACGGTCGATTTGATAGATTCTTTCTAGAGGGAAAAATCTGTTGTACATTTTCTGATTAACCTTGATCTCACCTGTCCACCTGTCCACTTCTGCAGGCTGCGGCTCAGAAGGCTCATAGATAAAAATGTATTGTATAAATGTATTCACAAATTTATCCCCAGTATGGCAAAATTCCAAACAGGTCTTGTATGAACTTACTAACATAGAGAAAGACATTAGACACCTTAGCCCAGAACATATTTAACGAGAGTATAATAATATATTGTCCATAATCATGATTTATTGCATTTCAAATGTCTTGTTTTAATGTTATTCATGCACATTTTAAATATCTGTTGGACTGTAGTGTTATATATTTTGTTTCTGGAGTTGACGGGCACATTTTCTGTCTTTTAGACTTGTGTTTGGTACACTATATCCTGCGTACTCGTCTTATAAAGCTGTGAAATCGAAAGATGTGAGAGAATATGTGAGTACATTATTTGTATTTTATGAAATTATATTATGCTGCGTCATTCTCATAAATATGATTCTATGTGTATGTTTGTAAACTACTTTTCCCTGTTCCATTACGTTTTAGGTGAAATGGATGATGTACTGGATAATATTTGCCCTATTCATGACGGTGGAAGTATTTACAGATATGTTCCTTTGTTGGTAAGTGACCTCAGGTATTGAGTGTTAATGTGTCCTTCATGGAGAGTCGTTTGCCTCTTGACTACTGGGTGTTTATCACATAACATATTTCGTCACGGTCATGAAAAACTTAAAACGTTCCATATCATTATGTTTTGCCGCCATTCTCTGTCTCCTTTGCAGGCTTCCTTTCTACTATGAACTGAAGATAGCCTTTGTGGTGTGGATGTTGTCCCCTTACACTAAAGGCTCTAGTGTGCTATACAGGAAGTTTGTTCATCCCACGCTTTCCTCAAAAGAAAAGGTGAAATCCCTTCCTTTGTTGTCCCAGTTCAAGGAAAGGTAAAGATATTCAGTCTAGGCTGAATGGTTTTGTGACTAATAGAATTTGAGTTTGCGACAGTCTGCAGGACAGAGGTGCCTTTGTGCCAATTCACTTTTCCACATTAGCTGTTAAAAATGTGTTTGCTGCACAGGGGGGAGGAAATGTCACGGTGCTCTTCCATTTCTCCCCTCTCTTTTTCCTCCATGTGTGAGTCAGGAAACGGATAAGTGAGTTTTGTGGGGATCAAAAGTAACAGAATTAAATGATACAGTCAAGCAATTTAAGAAATACAGATCAACACAGCATGAAATAAATTACACAGTTACAGTGAGAAATACTATGTTCACATGATTGGTTGTCCTTGTTTCAGGACATTGACGACTACATCTGCCAAGCCAAGGACAAAAGCTATGACACACTGGTGCATTTTGGGAGAAAAGGGTTGAATGTTGCAGCCACAGCTGCAGTCATGGCTGCAACAAAGGTAATGCAGACTCTGGGCATTTGTTTTGTAGTGACCTCAGGGTACAGAGCCTGTTATGTTGTTTGCTATTCACATAATGAAGTAGGCCTATTGAATAGAGCTTTGGATGTTTTTAAAGTAGAAGATCTAGAGGCCTATTATAATGTTTGTATCAAATTATTGATGTCCCTAAAATGATCCATGCTCTGAATATCTCACATTGCTGCTCCCACTATTATGAATACCTGGTGGTTTCTCTCCAAGGGCCAAGGAGTCCTGTCAGACAGACTGAGGAGTTTCAGCATGCAGGATCTATCTTCCTACCAGTCTGACTCCGATAACACTGACCCCGGCACTACGCAGTCTGCAGCAGCACAGCATCGGACCAGAACTATGATGCGCAGCAAGTCAGAGAGCTACAAAGGTAAGGAGACATTATTTCACACCAGCACAAAAAAGTAAAAACCACTATAGAGAAAGACCTTAACCAACAAGCTAATAGTGTTTTAGAAGCATATTAAAACCATGTTGTGGTATTGAGAATATATGAATTTCATAATATATTGAGTTGATAAACATGAGTAACATACAGCCTGTTCACTCAGCCCATTAGCTATGAGAGTGCTATTATAATGTAACAACAGTGCTTGTTTGGTTTTTGGCAGACAGATTATCATGTAGATTTCTGTCTTCCTGTTCAAGCTTGTTTAAGCCAACAGATATTGTTCAGTACCTCTGCTTTCCTGAGTGGCCCCTGAACCTTAGTCCTGCCTTCCTGTTTGGAGCAGGTCAGCTCTCACAGGGGCTGCAAGGCGAACCATCCTGTGATAAAACTCACATGTAGCTGCGGGGATTTGTTCCTACTTTAACGTCATGTGAAAACAGTTGTTGTTTGTTTTAGTCTGGATTGAGTGTCATATATTTTTTTTCAGATGATAATTACTCCTTTGTAGATAAAATTAGAAATAACATTTGGACACAACTTTTTATATTGGACAGAAATATCTGTAGATTTAAGGCACAGTTAACCTTTTTATTTCATAATGAATTCTGGTGATATTACCTCTGTTCATATCTGCTGAATATATTTCTAAATTCTCAATAAATTAAAGAATAAATCTGTGTGGAGGTCTATGTTTTTTCTTATTGTCAACAAATCCCAGAACGTGTTTTAATCTGTCTCTCAGTACTTCCTACATCCTCCACACCTTATATGAGGCTCTCAGCCACAAGCACTGCAGATTTTTGGAAACTTGGTTAAACCTGGAGTGAGTGGTGAATTTGTTAGGGACTGTTTTCAGCTGCGTATTAATACATATTTTTTGCACTAGTGATTGTTTATGGAAACAGGGCAGTGTAGGGCATGCAGTGAAGGAACATGTGACTCAGTGCAGCGGCCTGGCTCACTGATGTGTTTTTAATAATGTTTGGAAAATGATAGTGCTCTATGGCACATATCAGGCCTTTGGTACTTGTTAGTCAGGAGGTGATTGCTGGTTTTGGTCTCTCCATAAGATTTGTTGACAATAAGAAAAATATAGACAATCACCATACCTCCCCATTAAGACTACTGTAACACGCTAAACTCCATTAGAGCAGTGTTGCAACATGTGTGTTTTGGCTTGCTGCTGTCATTGCATCACATGGACATAATTCTGCAGATACTGAAAGAAGAACAAAAATAACCTTGTTATGCTTGTTTGTGCCGCCACAAATTTGTTTCTGCCTATTATGACTTCCTAGTTGGTCTCTGCTCTGTGGTCTCCAGGATGATAACGCATTATCATATGAACTTTCATAATCCCCACTGACCAAGATCAGTTGCGGTACCACAGCAATCACACAGAAAGCGTTTTTCGTTTGGTTCAGTAGATCAGAGACAGGATTTACATCTTGTTCATCGACCTTTTTCCACGGTACAGGACAGGATTTTGACATGACTGAGTATGAGATGTTGGGGTTGGACCAATGGCACTCCAAGAAGTCGCTCTCCCAGACCATTTCACCTTCTGAGTCTGAGTCCACACCCATTACGCCCTCACTGACACCCCAGTCCAGCCCACCCTCCACACCCTCTCCACCTCCCACTCCCTCTCCACCTCCCACTCCTCCAGTTCCAGAGCAGCCAGTGGAGGTGGGTAAAGAGGTGCAGGCAGCGTTGAGCACTCCACAGCTCAAGCTGATTAAGAGGAAGGCTCCTGAGGTATACCGCCTCATCACCATGGCTGCTCAGCTGCTGCCTGATTCTAACTGTCCCTTGAGAGTGGTGATTTACCCACTGATTCGCTAATTTCAATGGCTGTGTGGCTAAATAAATCATCATGGTCCAGTACTTTTGCAGTGTGGAGTCTGCCTGCTAATAGGATTTCTGCACTGATGAACCTGAATCATGTATTAACTTCAGTGGAATTATTGTTCAGTGCAAATGAGTGTGTGCTCTTGCTCTTATGATGTTTGTAACGACTCACTTTTTGGAAATGTGGCATGGGAAACATCCAAACATGCTCGCCATGAATTACGTACCGGTGTATTTCACCCCTGATAGTAATTTCTACTTTTGATGTTATGCTAATGGTAATGGTTGTGCTAAACCAATCACTGGAATGAACTGGTATTCATTCATTAATTTCAACATCTAATATCAGTTTGTTTAGCATGGTGATGCCTAACTAAATGAAGCAGCACCGTTTAGAGGAAAATACCAGCAATATTATACATTTTCCTTATTGTCAAACCCCATGAAAAGACCAAAACCAACAATTAATTAATCTCATTAACAAGTATAGTTTGTGTAGCCAAAGCCTAATGGCCAAGCCATGCCAATGGCCTTTGTTGTTTTCTAAACACTATTAAAAACTCAGTGAGCCACATTATTGCAATGGCTGACATGTCACTTCATTACAATGAACATGGGCACTGTGGTTTATTTTACGTCATTCCAGATACAGAATCCTGTTGCACTGAATGTGTTTTAATCCGCAGCTAAAAATAGCCCCCAACAGATGCACTTCTTACACCTGTTTTAGCAATATTTCCTAAAAACTAAAATACCCTCCTGTTATAGCAAATTGTGAAATCATATATGTTTGTGACGTGATATTAAAGATTTACATCTTCAGAAGGAACCATTGGGCCTGGGGCTGAGAACTACAGCCAAAGCTATAGAACTCAGAGAGTATTAAGAGATGTACAATGTGCTTGTTTTGGTTTTTTAATGGGATTTGTTGACAAGAAGTAAAATATAGCATAATGCCAGACATGTCTTTATGAAGTGTACAACTGTTATTTGTTGACTAAACTCCCTCCTGCTTTTATCCTCATCTATTCTCCTTTTTAGCCTCCTCTTAGAGTCCTACGGCCTCTCACAAGATCCAGGAGTGCTCTTTCTTCAAACAATGAAGCCATGTGAAACTGTCCTCAAGACTACTCCAGCTGCCTTGCTGCAAGAAGTAAAAATACTGAATGGCCAAAAGCTACATGACTGAAGCAGCCTTGCTTTGGAATAAGGTGTTACCAAAGTGACCTATGATGACCCCTCTATATATAGTACAGTATATAGCTTGTGGCTCATGATTAAATAAATGAGGTTTGTGACACTGAGATAGGAAAAATTAATGAATGGCGCCATGCTGATAGACACTTTGAGTTTATGGGTTATTGAATATGTATTTATGTACAGTTTGTGTGAACTCCATCTTTCTGATTTGATCATTTTTATATATCAGGTTTGGGTAGGCAATTGCATGTGTGTCTTCCCAGTTATTAGTCCACTGTTTATTAAACAGAATGTATTGTCACTGGATACTACAGCTGGCATTGAGAACGACGTGGTCTCTGTTAGAGAATGTGTTACAAGCCAAGGATCAAAACAAAAGGCAAGGCTGTTTTTGCCCATGATCTATCTGTTCTGGAGCTGAATTCTGCACTGATTAATTACTACATCAAGCTATTGAGAAATTGGTCAATTACCCCAAACAAAAAAAATCGTATACTTTATATAAACTTGTACCTTATAGTGATGAAAAGTCAGACGGCTGTGGCAGACAATATTCTGTTATTTACCTCTCTATCAAAGCCTTAAAGAACAAGATAGCAGAGACATGAAAATATATGTCTAAACACGTGATATGACAATTTGTAACACAACTATGTTCTCATTTAACAATCATTTTTGCACTATGTTTAGAATATAAATAACTTCCCTCAGTACTCAATGAAATTGCCAAAAATGACATAAAACAGTAATCATTATAAATTAGTAGCTGAATATTATCGTGAATAATTTTAGTATCATTATCATTCATTTCCTCTGTGGTAAAGAAATTACTTGTGTAAGAAGTAATAACACCAGTATCAAAGATAAAAGTCATCACCACAAGAAGTTTTCTCAGTGGAGCAGACTGTTTTGACAATCTACTGTTCAGTTTCTAAACACATTTTTTCATGTATTTGAACACTTATTTGGCAATTTAAGGCCAATTAGGAATATGTCTCTTTCAGCTGTAGCAGAGATAGATATGAATCATTATTTACTATATATAAACATGGTTCTTTTTCCATGTATGAAATCACTGTGTAATGTTCTGCTGTTAACTGAGCAACACTAAACCTAATGATCTTACCTTCTACTTGCTTCTGTTGTTCTTTAGGAATTCATGAGAGAGACTATGTTGGTTTGCAGGTTTACAAACTTAAGTTAAAATGTGTGGTGATGCATTGTATGTTTTCATCCTGTACTTTATTCACTGAGCCTGAATCATAGCAACATTTTACACAAAGTATCGATCTGTTGGTTGTTGATGGTTGGATTTACGCAGTAGATTTATAATTTTCATCATTGTATCATTTACGGTGGTTTGAAGTTTGAAACAAAAGCTTCTCAGGTACAACTGTTCTGTTTACACGTCATTCACTCTGATGTTGTAGATACACTTGTTATGCACATGAAATGTCCTTTTAATGGATAAATGAAAAAAAAATGAAACAGGAAAAATCAGATTGTGTTTCAACATTAGTATCAGTGTTAGTGTTGAAGGTGATTTCCTTCTTTCATGCAATTCATGCAAAGTAAAACTGAGAAAAAAAACACATTGCTAATTATTAGATTTGTATACTCGTGCTTAGACTGATAAACTCATCATTGCATGATGTTTGTTTTTAATTTGTATGAAAATTGGATTTCTTGAGCGATTTTGTGTGAAGCTGTTGGCCTCTTCAGATGCCTTGCTGGTAAACAATTACACTGCTACTTTTTGTCACTTTCAATTGCTTTATAGAAACAACATGAAATGTTATGACTATAAGTTGGCTACACATACATGCAAATGATGTCTTATTTACTGGTAAATTAGCCACTTTGTCTTTATTCATTTAGAGACACCACTTACTACAGTAAGTTATCTTAAGCAATTTTGTTCTGGCAGGCCAGAATGTCAAATTACTTAAATATAAACCCGATTGTGAATTATAAACTAAAATCAGTAATGTGATGACATGATGGTTTATGGCTGTCAATTTATTGTTCCACTGGATTAAATATTTCTGTTTAAATTGATTTAGTCATTAAATATCAAGTAAAACTTTGATTGTGTGTTTAAATCTTTTTTCTTATTGTATCAAAAGCAAAAAAAATCATTTAAGACACATGACTTTATTACGTATATTATTATGTATATTACATCGAACAAAACAAGATAATACTACATGTATCAGCCAATTACAGTTTGAGATTGACCCGGTCATGGTACTTCAGGTATTGATCATCGAGATACCAGTTCCTCCTCTTCCAAAACGAAGTTGTCATTTTATCCAAAAGCTTGCTCTGTGTTTTGTTACAGAACACAAACTCCCTCAGGCGCTTTCTTCTGGCAGGTTTCTTCTTCCACAGTTTCTTCTGGTGTCCAGCCTATTTACACCCAAAAACAAGACGTCGGATTGGCCACATTACAGTTTTTGTTTGGTGTAAAGAAAACAATCCAGTGTTTTTGACAGGTAACAGTTAAAAAGAAACATACCTTGCGTCTGATCCAAAGTCCGCAGTGCAACCTCATGAACCTTTCTGTGACAGATTTTACACTCTTCCTCTTCCCCTTCTTCACACTGTAGTACGTCAGACTTCGACTTGGCTGTGGAGTCAGACTGGGAGCAAGAGCTGACACCCTGCAACAACACAAAGAAGCAAAACCACTATTATTTAAAATACCTAATTATCCAAGTACTTAAATACAATGGAATTGAGTAAAATTATTTTTGGTACTCACAGAACTGAAAAATAAATAAATAAATAAATATTCCAGTCACCTGTTGGAACAATATAAAAACGTGCAGACAGGGATATTTTACTAATATGTCTCTACCTCTCGATCTTGAGAGTTTCCTGTGTTTTCCTGTTGAAAATTGTGACTGCTTTCCTGCAGCCTATTAAGCTTTAATCAATTCCGTATTTTTGCAATTGAACTGCTGACAGCTTTTTGTTGTATAGGGTGATAAGCATAGTACCAAGAGTTTAATAATACTGAAATCCCTTGACAGTACTGTGGATGTCAGCAGTCGTGGTCCCCCCAGTCCTTACCTTTGCAGGATGTTGTACCGCGGTGTCTGACACGCTGCTCCCCACAGAGGAGCGCGGACAGCGGCTGCAGCGGAGCTGTAAAGAGGCGGAGGCTGAATGAGGCTGGAGAGTTGACAGAGCTGAGGTGTCCTGGCATGGAGAGACGCAGACAACGGCCTCAGCAGCCCTGTAAGACACAAGGACAACATGAAAACACGAAATGAGCCACAGCGAGGAAAAACCCTCAGTGGCGTCACTGTTAGCTAATGCTACTGACTTAATGTGGCTACTGTTCGTGCTAACAAACTACACGAAGCGCTCCGGCAGTTTGGTCCATTAAAACGCAGAAGAAACTCTAAACATTAACTGAAGGAGAACATTGAAATGACAAAGTTTGAATGTCAAATTGTATTACACACCGGACACCCTTCTCGCCAGGACGGCCGCCATGTTTTCCCCAGAAAGCTGCCGTAAGTACGGAGTCCCGTTTGGACAAAAATCAACCGAGTACAGTGCGTTACCGCCACCTAGCAACTACTGTCTGGCATCAAAATAAAAATTGTGGTAACAAATCAATTTTAATGTACTCCAGTGTCCACTCTGTGTGAATGCCATGACTTTGAAGCTAACAATCTTGTATGAAACTCCCGGCTGTATCTATGTTTCTGCTCCATGGTTGTCACACACTGTAAACAAGTTTATCTGATCCTGCAGATCTGCCATTTGTCACACTCTCCTGCTGGATGTTTTCCTAATGTGGAAAGAAAGTGTTCAGTGCTGCAGGACCACAGTCTTGTCAGAATGACTTTTCTTTCTCTTTTCTGTAGTATGGTAAACCTTGCATTATCCACTGAACAGATGTCATGGCAGACATGTTCACTTGTCATGGCAAGAAATACACAGGTACAACCCAGCAATACAAATTAATAATTTAACAGTGCATTAGCTTCCTGATTTGCAGTCATCTATCTTACCATGTGCAGTGTTGGGGAGAAGTGAAGTACATGTAATTAAACTAGCAGTTTAACTACATTTTGCAGTAGCTTGCTGGCCGTTCAACTACATTCATTGGTGTATCGTGATTCAAGTAGTTCCATTCCTTTTTTGCCATGTTTGTATAGTTAACTACTGAAACTACCAATGATTTTTTATTTTTATCTTACCATTGCTTCTCTACTGTAATAGACAGCCACGACTGCGGCGAAGGCATGACCAGGAAATGCATTTGTCAGGGAGTCACCACCATACACTTAACCTTTGTGTAGTGTATGTGCAAAAGCCAAGGGTGAGTGTTGCTCAGTGGTCACACAGTGACAATGTTATCACAGAGAAACCCTCCAAATCTCAGCCTGAGGAACAGTCCCCATGGCCATACTTGGGCAATTATTCATACTAAAATTGTGTTGGAACAAACAGTGCACAGTCGTGTTGTGTAGTTGGAGGCAGTTGTCACTGTACATACTGGCCCTTCGTGTAAAAGGAATTATTTTGTTTTTCTTGGCTAAATTACCAAATGCCTTTTACTATATTTTGAAAAATCAGTCATCTCCAGCATTAAGCGATGAACTCAGAAATCTGAAAGGCTCTTTCTAAGTTCAAAGGTATTAAGTTGTGTTAAAGTTGTGGAGAAACCTGGACTGAAAACAAGCCTGATGCTAATCTATAATATATTTTAAATGATAATAACAATAATAATAATAATAAACTTCATTTGTATAGCACCTTTCATACATAATTGCAGCTGAAAGTGCTTTACACCAGAAAAATAAAATCAATAACCTAGGTAATAGCAGCAGACATAAGGGGCAATTTAGTCTAATAAACAAAAGGGCAATAAAACAATATTAATTTAATCATTTTTATTTATTTTCAAAATGTTCAAACATACAAAACAGGTGAAAAATAGTAAGCCAAGGAATCAATGAAACTACAGACAACACAGACATAATGTAATCAAATGCATTAAAAAACACAAGGCACCAACAACAGTTTACACCTCTCTGTCACTGAGGAACTACACAAGTTAATGGAGGCAACAAATTGACCAACATGAGTGCAAAGTAAATCAATTACCTTGGTAAAAAAAAGTGCTTTTTATAAGAGAGGTTCCCACCAAGTGGAGGCACGCATCTCATATTCACCGTTCCAGCATACCTCTCATAATCCAATGACCTAGTTTGCAAAAGGAGAGTGTTTATCTCTGAGTGGAACAACTGTTACAGTGTCAAACTACAAGAATTCACAGAAGAATGAACTTGTGTTTCTCAATAATATATTCAAATGTACCACATAAAAAAGCTGGTGGATTGTCAAAGTACTATTGTGGCACCAACCCAGGATTTTACCATCAGTCTTCTTCTATCAGTCCTTTTGTCTTTAGTGGAGACCCATACAGAGAAAAGACTTCAGCTGGTTTTGTCTGACCAACCACTCACTGTAGGAAAGCTAAACTGAGGTCCTTTGGTTCACCAGCCAGCATATACAGGTTCTGCATCACAGGGGATCCCATAGTATCGACCTTGAGGTCGCTCTTTGCGTAATAATGGAGCTCGGGCTAGAGTCAGTTCTCCATCAGTGTCTCTCCGTCGACGCAGAACCATTAAAATGATAAAGAGTAAAGCCACTGGAAAAGGAAAGTAGGAAAAACAAAAATGTTACCAGAAATGATCATCTACAGTTGGGCTTATTAGATACACACAAAGAATGCATTGATACACGAGCATGACTCTTATTTTGTTTCATTATGTCTTTGTGAATAATGTGGTCTCAGTGTAAGGGCAGAAACATAATCTGTTTCCAGTGAGCAAAAATAAAAGTTTTATTGTTTCCATGAGGCCAAATGACCAAATGACTCATTACATTAAGTCTCTGACATAAACTACATTAGAACAATACTTAGTTATATATGAAATGTGCTAACAAGCTGCGTTTCATTAAATTGCAGAAAATAGGTGTGCCTAATGATATCCAAACCATTACTTTATCAAACACAAGCTATTAATACTTGCTGTAAAGACATTTTTTCACATATAATTAGATTATATAAATATGGGACATTGCAGCTTGAAGCTTGTCAGTTTCAAAGGCAATCAATTTGAAAAGCAGAATTGTAATTACAGTCCCTTTAATATGGTGTTAAGGTAAGATACATTACTGGAAAGCATATTGGGTATCTAATATAAAAAATGCTATTTAAATGCAAAGGGTTTGTAAAGGGTTTTGCACTTGTACCGGCATTGCTACTTACCTCCACCTCCAATAACTAATAGAGCAATAGTGACAGGAGCCAATTCACAAGTGTCCCCTGCTTTGCGGAAGAAGGTCTCCATGCAGTAGCCTGGAGCCAAGCTGCCCTCTGGACAAAAGGCATCACTTGGACACAGAATGGGGTTCACATCTGGACTCTGAGGAAATAATTAATATGAAGAACAAATGTGCAGGACATCTCAATCGTACACAAGTGTGGAGGGTGCAGTACTCACAGGGCAGTAGTGATTCTCTGGGCAGACATCACAGCTTTCCTGGCCCCAGCGGATCTGGAAGAAGCCACTGCCGCAGATTTGACACATGGTCTGATGGGGAGCTTTGTGCATACCTGTCAAAAACCAGATATCACCTGAGTGGACATTCATGCTTCACCTTTTCTATTATGAGTTGCAGAAAGCTCTCATACAAATCACAACTTATGGCCCTGTGGTTTTACATTTGCATAGCGTGAATTACCTGGTCGACACAGCGTGCAGTCTTTAGCAGAGGCCTGTAGAGCCTCAGTTCCTCCTGGACACATCTGGCACTCTGTACAACCAGAGGAGCTGTAAAAGAGAGAGAGGGAGAGAGAGACATATGTTTGTGACTGTTAAATGGCAAAATTCAAATCTGATTTAGTTTAAAGCCATTGTTGCAGCTTGGTTTCATACTGCTAACAGTCATCTTAGACATAGTTTGAATTGGTTTGCCGAGTAAAGATTTAATAATAATACACAGCTCTGACAAACAACATCATGCCAACACTACCAAATTAGGAAAAAATGGTTGCAGACTGTTGTCAGCGTATACAGTTAAAGTTGTTTGGACAATTAATAAAACTTAAGAATAAATAGGCTGTCCAAGAGCCAAACACAATATTTTTAGCCAGTGAAAACAAGCTGTTGTGGCAGCAGCCCAAGAGCTCTCTGGTGGACACTGGCAGTGAAGGAAGGAGGCTTTCAGAGTTGGCAAGACCAAGACATCTTCCTCCCTTGTAAACCAGGCAGATTGTCGCTTTTGCTGGCACAGAAACAAAAGTTCAGTGGTGGGTGGAGTTTGGTGAGGTCTATCAGGAGGGTTGCAGTTGGCTTCAAAGAGGTTATCAGACCGTCATGTTGAAGAGCTGAGCCTAGAGGTGAATGTCTTGGTCTTCCTGCGTTCCTGTGCTCACCCATGGTCATGTGCTCTGAATGAAATCTCAAGTGCTAGAAAATGTTGGGACTGGTAAAGCAACTTGCTGCTGAATTCACACACTTTCTTATACTTTTTACATCCCCTTGTATGAGCCACTGAGATATGATCATACATGCCATGACATTTTTATGCCTACTGCTGATGATTCAAAGAAGCAACTGTCTTACTGTGTGTGTGTGTGTGTGCGTGCGTGCGTGCGTGCGTGCGTGCGTGTGTGCGTGTGTGAGTGTTTGTTTGTGTGTGTGTGTGTTTGTGTGTGTGTGTGTGTGTGTGTGTGCGCGCACACGTAGGCAGGCAAACAGAACCATGGGATTGAAGCATGTGATGTTCGATCCAGATTATTAGATAAGTGATTTTTCCAAAAACACAGAGATAGTTATGAAAGTTCCATCCACACTGATGCTGGTTACAAACAACATCAGAAACAGAAATAGCAAAAGGAAACCTGGTGATATTAAAATGCAACTTACTTGCAAAAACTTCCTAGCGCACATGGCGTGCATGAGGTGGAACTCAGCTGTGACGAAAAGAAACCTGAAAGCAACAGAAACAAAAATAACTCACAACATGTGATTCATGTTTTAGATGATATGAAACAGTGTTGAGGTGACTACATGAATTCATTTTTTCATGTGCATGTGTTGGTAGAGACATTTTAAATATACAAGTCTAATTTTTAACAAGTTAACTGCAGCTTTGACTGAAGGAATACAAAAAGTAAATAATTTACAGCACTACTGTGAGTTTTTGTCTACAGCTAAATAAACACACCTGGTGAACAACTTGTGCAACTGTCACCACCAGTATTATTGTTGAAGGATCCACGAGGACAGGGGTGACATAATGGACTTCCAGTGAAACTGTAGGCGTAGGTGTAAAATATACAATAAACTGAGCAGTGAAGTAGACAATACCAGCAGAAGTAAAAGAAAATGTTGAATTTGTATGTACAAAATGTGCCCTTACTTTGTGTAGAAGCCCTGGTTGCAGGGCAGACACTGCTGCTGTCCAGCAAGTGGCTGATAGAAACCTCTGGTGCACGGCAGACAGGCTCCAGAAAATAGACACAGCCCGGGGTCAGAGCAGCACACACACAGCAGGGTGTCTAGGGAGAGATAGAGAACCATTTCTTAACTTTGACTTCACGATCCATTGTTCCATTTAAAACATTAGATAATATGTTTCTATGATCCACCATCACACACAAAAAAAGAACCAAAATGGCAGCCTGAAGTCAGATGACACGGTCCTTGACTCACTGTTGTCGTATTGCGATCCCGGTGCACAAGGCTCACAAGTTGAAGTGTTGAATGCAGAGCAGCCTGGGGTCGTGCTGCTGAGAATCACGGGAGTTGGAGTCAGACTGGTCACGTTCTCAATAAGAGTGGTGTTAATCACAGCAGGAGTAAGTGTGGTCTGGCTCACCACCAGGCCTGGAAGACAGAAACACTGGATGTTTATAGTCTGACATTTTGTAGTACAGTGAAAGATACAAGGCCGCAATGCAAACACAGCAATTTGATTTACCTACAACTTTTAATCAATACCAATTAATGTGTAGGGTTGTATTGTTGTATTTATATAATATAATATACATTATAAATGTATATCCCTATTTCTATTTTCAGGCATTTACAGTAATGAACTTTAGTAAAGGGTCAATCTAAGTGGATCCAAAGTGAATTCATAAACTAATTTTAAGACTCAGAAACATAAACGAGGTGAGAAAGGTGGGTGGTTCGGGTTAGCAGTAGCTGTGTTCCTGTGATATCTTAAAACACTCCACAAAATCTGAAGTATAACATTCACCCAGTTAGAAAGTGGGGGCGACAGGTATAAGCACATCAGTGAAACAGAGCCCATATTGTGGGGGTAATCACATTAGCCATGTGCTTAAGTGCTTTCTTGAATAGGAGCCATCCTACTCATGAAATGAAATTATTCAGGAAGAGGGTCATGTGATTCCTCTGGTTCAGTCTCCTCTGGGCTGGCAACATTTCTCTCTCAAGCTGTTAGAGTGGCAGAAAGAAATGCTGTAATCCTGATCCTGATCCTAAATCATAAAATTTGGAAGGATACAGCACCAGTGTCAACAAAATAAATCCCCATAGAGAAATTATAGCTCAATAGAAACCCATTAAGTCAGTACATTCATTTTTACAGTCATTTTCCAGAAGAACAAAGTTTGTTATGAGGTTAAGGTCCAAAAAATTAAGATTACAATGATAAAAAATTTAAGGGAATTTGTGAAAAAGAGTTTCCTAACGTGGTTTCAATGGCATTAATTTCATGCTGAAATAATCCTGACAACTACAAGTAAAGCAATTGTCAAAGCAATTTTTCAAATTTATCCTTTGACATTGTATGAACTTTGTATTGCATTTATACTGTTTTTATGGTTCGTTTACTCCGCAGCAAAAATCTGTAATAATCTTATGAATAATGGACTATTCCAGTTGGGACAGTGGTTCAACTCGTTGAATTAACAATCTGATAATTGTTATGATCCACTATTATATCTCTATAATAAATCCATCGTGTCCTTCCTAGTGTTTTGTATGATAATAGCACTTATTTTGCTCACCGATAGAGGAGTATAGACCTTACCTATTAAACAAGCGGCGGCTATCGCAGGAAGAAGTCCCCGACACTCCATCCTCCAGATATTATCGAGTACGACCACCAGACAGTGTCCGTTTACAGCATCTCATCCCTGACAAGTGGCCGAGTCGCCTTCGTTTTTGCAGAGGACGTAGGCAAAGTTCACTGGCAGTGGGATCAGTCCTCTCATCAGTGTCATATGACAAAATACACATCATGTGATTTTGCTTTAGAGGGAAAAACTGAGCCGTTTGGGCTGGATTCAGGCTGATCTCTTGTTGTTACGTGGAGCAGCCAGCAGGGGCGCCACTGCTCCTCATGTAGTTGAAATGTGTACTGGTTCATTTAAAGAAAAATGTTATTATTTATTGCACAATATATTCTATATTATGTCTTGCTTTAATGTGCTGCATTGTGTGCTATTGTAGCTGTATTATTTTTGTTAATCTAGAATAAAATGATGATTAATTATATATTGTTGAGGATAATTAATACATTATCATTAATACTGGACAATAATGATTACAGGATGAAATTACCACTATTGAAAATTCACAGTTTCCCAATATCCACAAACTAGTGACCTGTACTTGTATTTGTACTTACTATGTTGTTTTACAATCAATATTCAAAATTTTCACTGTACTGCACTGTAGACATGTTCGAGAGTTTGCTGTACAAAGTCCTGTGCTCATGCTTACAGTAGTTCTCTTTTGACAAATGACACATGATACTGGTGCCTTATCTTGATGAGTATGATGGGTGACATTTTGCACAGTAACTTGTTACCAAAACATACAAGCCACAGAAATAACACCCATATTGTTTTGGGGAAGGGAAATTTTCTTCATAAGTCACAAGGTGAAGGTTCACTTCCTGTTTCATCACACACACACACACACACACACACAGGTGGCTGGATTTTAACCTGAAAAATAAATCCCAACATGTTGACATTTCACACACACACACACACACACACACAGGTGGCTGGATTTTAACCTGAAAAATAAATCCCAACATGTTGACATTTAGTGGACATTACAAAGCTCAGGGCAACATTTGACACTAATATTATAAATACACTACAAAGTGGAGTAGATTCAAGTGTGTAGAAAACAGTAATGGATATAAATTAATTCCTCCATGGAGATAAACCACAATGACAGTGATTGTTTAAAAGAAATTTTAATGCAAAAAATGTGTCAAATTAACAATGTGAAACAAATTATTCCATGTATTTCTCTCCTGGCAGCAGATTCACCGCTGATCTGTCTAATCTAAAATTAAACATTCATAAACTCAAGTAACATGTTGCACATATTCATGTCTTAAGTGTTTCCCTCTGAGAAACAGCATAAGGAGCGTCCTTCTGGATATGATGCTCTAAACTCAGCTCCAGTTCCTCCCAGCTTTTCTTCTTCAAGCTTTTCTGGTGAAATGAGAAACAGGAAGATGAATGAGGAAGATGATCTTACTGCTGCTAGAATGAAAATATCCAAACACTGACAAAACCAGACAAAGCTTTGGATTTCATACTCACTTTGTTGTGTGTCCCTGTGTTTGTATGCACCGCAGCCTGCTCACAGGTTTTGGCCTTGTTGCTTTCAATGTGCTTCAGTCTTCGGCGCTCTTGCTGTTTCTCCTCAAGCTTCTTCTGCAGGGCCGAAAGTGTCTCATCTTGAGTCACCGTCTGCCGAAACCCCAGCCTGGCTTTCCTCTCCTCTTTCCTGCAACATGCCAAAAATATCATTCATGTCTGTGTGATATTTGTGTGTTTGTATGTCGGCCTTCTTCTGTCCCCATTTTCCCACTGCCATAATTAAGTCAGAGCCCAACATTTTCCTGACCTGATGGCCACAGCCTGTGCCAGTGCTCTCCTGTGGAGGTCGATGGTGTCCATCTGCTCCAACAGCAGCTGCTTCTTGTTCTGCCTCACCTCCAGGATGTGCTCCTGTTTCTCCAGCTGCTCTGTTTGCTGGACCTCCTTCAGCAGGGCCAGCCGCTCCTTCAGCTCGGCCAGGGACATCTCTCCCAGCAGCTCATGGCCTGCGGTCTGACATGGGGCAACAGGTTAACCATGACTTAGAGATACTGTGAGTGAAAGTGTGTGAAATGAGAGATGACTTCCTCCATTTCTTTCACTCACCTCTGTGTCGTCAAAATTCTTGACTCTAAAGCGAGGTAGTGACTCAATAGTGCGAATTTCACGGATAATTTCAAATTTTCTGCTCAGTTCTGCCTGTGCTTCCTCTAGTGCTTGACGAAGCAGCTCTCGACGTTGCACTGATACTTCTTTCACTGTGAAAGTGGCAAGAAATTGGAAATCATGAAAAAAATGATTATTATATCACAAGTGATGTCAAACAAGGCGGAGTACCTATAGTTTGTTTGAATTTCTGCAGCTTCTCTTTAGCCATTTTCGAGTTCTTGTGTCCCTCTGCCACTTGTTGCACCAAGTCTCTCATTTCTTTTTCCTCCTGCAACCTTTTCTCAGCATATCTCCGCATCAGCTCAGCTGTCTACAAGACACAACAAAGCAACCATAAAAAAACAAATTTTTCATGCATAATCTTAAATCCCTTTAAAACGACTTCATTAAGGATGTTTGTAGAAACAGAGATGCTTTTGTGTAATTTAACGCACTGTCTATTCTTCTCTATTTTTTTTTTCTTTTCAGTTGTTGAGGGATCTTAACCAACCTCTTCCTTCTTCAGCTGAACAGTCCTCTGGTTTCGTTCCATTATGCGTGTGTGGGCCATAGCTGCTTCCTCATAACTGATGCGTCCCTCCAGACGCCTGCGCTCAATCTTGGCCAACTCCTCCTGAAGGTCCTTCTCACGCATCTCCTTCTGCCACTGTAGGAAAGAAGAGGGCTCACGTGCCCCTTCTATCAAACGCTCCATCCTGTGGGTGACACGCACATAAACACATTGAAATTATTCTTGACTTGTTTTAGTTTGGTGAGTTAAGCTTTATTTGTTAAGGAAATCGAACTGGGATCAAGGATCTCTTCTAGGTAAACACTGTGCTGTACCTCTGCAGCTCCTCCTCCACCTGACGGTCATATAGTGCCCCCTGCCTCAGGATAGCTGCACTGTTGAGTTTGATGGGCCAGTTGCTGGTCTAACAGCATGAGCAAAATGAACACATGCAAGTGGATATTAATATAATGTACACACACATTAGTTGATACTTATAATATATTGAAGATGTGGGTGAAAGAATTGGATCTCACCTTATTCCTGGAAGGAGCTCCAGAGCAATGAAATGAACTGAATTTGAGCTTTGAATCCAAGTCTTCCTTAATCTTGGACACCACTTGCTGCAATGCAAACCATGGTTCAGCAGAGATGCAACTGATTGGTAAAAATGACTCAAAAAGAAAAACAACATGTATCAATTACAGAAAAATAATCCCTACCTTGGTGTGTTCAGACTTCTGCGGATTTACACATCTGAACTGTTTCACATTCGCCTCATACAGCAGCTCCTTTGGGGAAAACAGATGTCCTTACAATGACATGTAAGTACTGATGAAAATACATCAATATAAGACTTAAAATAATGTATTAATAATGTTACATACAGTGGTTCAGAATAATTTTTTTATGTTTTGTAATATTTTTGGGTGTTTTATTTTTGTTGGATATGCCAGTTGTTGATCGATTGATACACCTGCCCCCTCTGTCAAACCTCTCTTCTGTTGTAATATGTTTATATAATAGTCCATCTTTTGCCTTTTAGATGTCGTAGTATTTTTCTGATGATAACTATAAAAGCAGACATTGTACCTCAGCCTTTTGATGGTTCTTCTGTTTTATCTCCTCTATCATCTGCATCTCCTTTGGAGCCCTGTATGTGCTGTTTGGTACCTACAAAACAAAACCCTTGTGAGTAGTGCATCAGCCTCTACAGACCTGACCTGGTCTATATTCTCTCTAAAGCATATCTGTAGGAAAAAAAACAGAAGATAGTACATATGTAAACAAACTATGTGGCAATGTTTCAAGAAAATACAGTATATAACTGAATATAACTAAATGTAAATATAACTAAATGAGGCTGACTGGTTTGGATTTTTCCTGCTGTGGGATGAGCTCAAGAACAGGCAGAGGTCGAGGTTTGGGTTTGGTGAGAGGGAACTCCTGGGGCTCAGTGGTTTTGATTGGAGCTTTCTTGACCTGACTCCCTTGAGATATTTTGACAGCAAGCTGGTCAATGAGAATATCAATCTCAGGGCGCCACCTAAAGGACAAATAGACATATGCTGTCATTTCTTGTCTTCATATCAAATGTTATAGTCTGTGAATCTGAAAAGGATCTTCCTGGAATTTTTCTTTTTACCTTAGCAGAGGGCCAATCCAGTGTTTCTCCACATAGGCAGCATCATAGATATTATTCCACTCTTCTTGTATCCATGTGGTGAGATTTGTGAAGAAGAAATTCAGGAACTACAACAAAAAACAACACATACATACAGAGTGTACAGTAACAGAGCTTTTGATTGCTGATTCTTTCCAGTTCAACAACAGTGATGTGTTCAGAAAAATTGAGTTTCTTACTGTTTGCATCTTCTTGATGTCCAGAGATTTGACAATGTTGCTAAAACACTGAAGCCCAATGTCATCAAGGACAAATGTGGCAAAGTAACAGATAACTGAAGAACAACATAATATTATAAATATAGCAGTGTTAATCTTGTTTTATTCAGAGTAAAATGAGAGTACACGACTGTTTACTTCATTAACTTACTGACAAACTGGCTGCGTTCACCTCTGGATAAGCATTTCCCATTCTGACCATAGAAGACATTGATAACTATGTCCAGTAATTTTTTGTGCTCAATGCATCCGGAGACCACATCAAGTATGAACTTCTTATCCTGAGCATCCATGTTCTGCAATGAATAACAATATTAGCTTATGTATGATTCTTTAGAAAGGGTGTGAGAACAAGCAGCATCAGGACTCTAATCTGAATTTACTTACCTGCAGAGCTTTTGAAGCATCTTCAATGAAGTCATCCAAACACTGTCTGCCAGTGCTGAACTTATCGAGCAACACAATGGCCTCCTTGACAAGTGATCCATAGCTTGATGCCATCTTATATCGACCTGCAGATAGCTGATGGAGATTGATAACTGCGGAGAGAAGATCTGCACGAGCAGAAAAGGCCACAGAAAAACATACACAATATATATATATATATAAAAAAAACGTATAAAAATATACTTCCTAGTTCTACCAGAGCGAGACAAGTGTTTGCTATTAAAAATACAAAGGCTATATTCATAGTAAGTTTCCCCAAAAAGATTCACGGGGCAGCTTGTTTTCAGGTCGAACCGTTGCCATGTTCAATCGTTGCTTAGCAACACACTGGTGTAAACAGAAATGTATCCCAGCTTTCCTAGCAAATAACACCTTACAAATACAAGGAATACCAACATATGTGGGATTAACGAGAGATTTTTTTTTAATTATTGGGCTGTTTTGTTCACTAGATAAAAACAGTCATGGTTTTAATCTCTGGGATGCAGATTAACAGTCTGACATCCTGATCCTTTGTTGGCTGCCATAACAATAATAATGACGTAGCATATTGTGACGTCTGTGCGAGCCATGCGCTGCCTTTGTGCGCTGTTGGAAAAACGGCAATTAGCACGATAATCAAATCAACGTGATAAATACAAGAGGAAAAGATTAAATACATGCAAATAATTGTAACACAATTAAGCCAGTAGGCCTATGTCAGATTGTTGTAAAAAATAAAAGTGCCACGAAAGAAGGAAAAGTGACTAACTTTACATCAGGGTTTAGTGAGGAAAATCTGATTAGTGACCAAATCACATGCAAACTGGGGTTTTAGAGTAGTCTCACAATGCATCATCTGAGTTCCTGTTTTAATCTGATTACCATAATCTGATTATTTTGTGGGCATGTAAACAAAGTCATTAGTTTAGCATTCTGTTGTCACAAATTTTGTTTTTGAAATGGACTATTTTGGACTTGACTATGGGCAAAATGGATGAGAAGTCCTACAAGTGCTCAGGTTCATGGAAAGCAAACTCAGTTATCAACCTGCTGATAAAGACTGTTTGATACTGTTGAAAGTGCAAGCAAGGGAGTGGACCTTGAATTGAGATTGTTTTGTGTTTCCACGGTCTCAAGAATAATCTGTGTGAAGTTCAATTTATGTACCTGATCCAAAGTAACTCAGGGTAATAAAATTAAAGTCCCCATTCATCTCAAAAACTGTGTCTTGCTCATTGTTATCATTTACTTGGCCTTCATTGTGCAGAATGATGTATGTGTTGTCTCTGACACTCATTCAACCTCATTTTCATTCATGTAGTTCCTCATCTTAAATCTGTGATTAAGACATGTACTATATGTATGAGCAGAATTGTGCAACATCATAAAAACGTTGGGAACCAAACAAAGTCCAATATGCACCTAACACAGTGAGGAAACTTGAAACCTCCAGTACTGAGAATAGATTTTTCAGTTCAGTAAGTTCTGTATCCGAGGTCCAAACGTTTGAAAATAAAATGTATATTCTTATATTTAAAAAAAAATCTAGATTTTACACAGAGGGAGATGTAATTTAGTGTGATCTGACGTTTTTTGTGGAAAACCATGACAGAAATTATCATTATTCAAAGTCGAGTATTTAATAAGTAAGCATACATTGAGGGGATCTTAATAAATAATAAAACCCAATAAAAATCACCAGTCACGCTATAATGCTTATATGGTCTGTTTTGTTAGTATTTCCAACCAAAAGCAGTTGGGAGCACGGTATTTGGGAGAAGCACTTGAAGGCATCATTTCCTGGGAAAGTGGGAGGTGAATGTTGTCAACGTGACTGTCATCAAGTATCGTTACAGGGGCAGAGAACAGCAGAGCAGTCGGTGCTCCGCTCGTCTGTATCGTCGGGACTTGGAAAGTGGCCGGGTGGGGGAGACAGGCAGCCAAGCTCGGGATTCAGGGAAGATGGAAATAAGTCACTGTTTCCGAATATCTCCTTTGTGCGCTTTCAGAGCTGTGTTGTAACGTTCAGGACAACTTACCGTACGTTGTGTTTTGTACATTTTCCGTTGTGGAACCCAGCAGCGCGAGCTAGCTTAGCAGCCAACCACTGATAGTGTCAGACACAGGTACGGGAGAGGAGAGGAGGGGTTGGTGACAAAGGAAGGTGGCGAGGTAACGATGAACCGCTTTCGAAAGTGGCTGTATAAGCCCAAGGTAAGTTATCCTGAATCCTCACGCTGTGTCAGCCCTGCAGTCAGTCATTTTTTATGCATAGCTTTGGAGATAGCTAGCAAAACAGCCGATCAGTGTGGCTCGCTAGCCTGGTTACTTCACACACTGCCACACATCTGCTAACGTTAGCCCGTGTTCCTGATGTTACACTGTATTAACCAGCAGCCACCCCTTTGTTGATGTTGATGCTTTTGTTTTCAAGCGCTAGTCTGGACTAACAATGTTACAGCCTGGTAATATTCATTGATTTTTACTTACTGACTTACTGCTGCCTTCAGCTGACATTGTCATTAATTTCAGGTATTGTTGAAGTGATTAATTTGTTTTGTTTTGTTTATTGTTATTATAGTTACACGTTCTTTGAAATACCTTAATGGTAATATGATTATTTATAACAAAAAGAACAGGAACAGTAATGAAAAAAAATATTAAAATAGCAATAATGTTAACAATAATGTCTTAATCAAAAGTGAAATAATTTTTTGATGTTGCATAAATAGTTCTTCTAGCATTTTAGTGCAACAACTAATGATTATTGTTATTAAAACTGCTGGTTATTTTCTCTATTGATTGATAAATTCTCTGGTCTATAAAAATGTAGAAGATGAAAAAATGCTCATCACAATTTCCTGAAGCCCGTGACATATTCACGTTGCTTGTTTTGTCTGACTAAAGTCCAAAGACGTTTACTATCACATGAGTCAAAGAAAAGCAGCAAAACCTCACAGTTGAGGAGCTGGAAATGGATGTTTGGTATTTAATCTTAAAAATGAGTGAAACGAATAAATTATTTACAAATTTATTGGAAGTTATTTTGTTTAATTAAATAACTAATTGTTTCTGCTCTGCAGCATTTGATTGGATTTGATTTGTTTGTTGATTGTACACATGATCCCAAACTGTATGAATCGTTGTTAAGAGCCACCAAAACACATTAAATCCAATGCTGCTCTGGCTCATTATTAGTTGGTAAAATCATCACTTTTGGAGTAAGCAGTGGATGTGCTGTAATTCTTTCAATCAAGCTCACAGTGTGGAAACTTGCCTGACACAGCAGAGGAAGTATTGAAGGCTTGGTCGGTCGCCTTGTTAAATGAACAGTTTAAATAAATGTCATCTGCAGCACTTTTTAGGATGAGTGAATGTGAATATTTCTCCAGGGAGGAAATTCTTGTTAACTTGTAGGTTTTAGGGAGAGCAATTTTAAACTACTCAATGCATCAACTTGAACTCACAGAAGGGTGTAAGTCTGAGGCAGGTTGTGAATGATCAGTATATACAGTAATTTATTTGTGCTGCATCATCACAAAATATCAGCGCTTCTGTAGAGTAATGAATAAATAAACAGTCACAGATTTTCGTGCCTATGATGAATTGAGAAACTCCTACCTGGTTTGCTTCTAGAGATTTCTCAGCTTTGGATGTTGTAAACTTAATCTTGGTTTACAGCCTATATGAAATCATCACACAATTACTGATATGCTCTTACTGAAAGTTTTCTATTTATAGGGAAGACTGTTTGAGCAAATATTCTTTTTAAAGCACTTTACAAAATGATGCACACCACTCATAGTACACAGTATTCTAATGTGGCCTCTTTCAGAGGATGGGTACAAAAAGGTTATTATCAACCGCAGAGCATTTACATAAAAACATTAAGGAATTAAAAAAATATTGAAAACTCTACTAAACTTTCTGTACTTGACTAGAAATCTTGACTTTTAATGAAGAACACTAAAGGTGTAAAATTATTTGCTACAGTCCACACACCCACGTTCAGGGCAAGGCCACAGGCCTGAAGAGCATTTTAGTGTGTTTAACACATTGTGTCCTTTCAGTACATTGGTACAAGAGCAGCATATAAAAGGCTGACTTTGCATCATAACCACTGTACATTTTGAGTCTTTTTTGTTTCATAGACATGGAGGAAAATATACTGCAGACAGCCTCTTAAACAAGTTGGTGACTGTGGTGCAGTCAGTGTTGTTTCTGGGCATAGGAAATAGACTTGTTTGCTTTACCTATAAGGTTTGTCAACATGTATTTCTGATTGGCAGCATAAGTTGATAAGTCAGTCTTTCTGGTGAAAGAAGACAGCTGAGTTGCCATATAAATTGTAATTGGAGTTCTTGCAACAGTAATGTCAGACAAGGCTTAGATGAAATGCCTCTGATTATATATTATCCACCTGCTCTTTACCACATACACACACCTGCGTCATTCCCCTTTTCTCTGTTAAACCACGTTTGCTGTCACAGCGTTTTGATTGTCCATTGTTGGGGTTAGGCTTAAGTGTTGGGGTTCACCAGAGTATTGTCACATTCATGAATGACTACTGCCTCTGGAGTGCTGAGCTATTACATCAGTGCCTTTTCTGCCATATCACGGCCATGGTAGGAATTAACAGAATAACACACAAGTCTGTGGGATTTAAATGACCAGTTCTGCCTCAAAGGAGTGATGAGAAAGAGTGCTAAAAGCCTCAGTAATTATGCCAATCAGTATGAAAAGACAACAGTAATGAAAGGGTTCAGGTCACTTTGTGCTCCTGCCTCCGAACAGCAGCTGAGCTAGCCAATAGTTTTGCTTCTGCTCTGAGAGAAAATATTTCTGTGGTAATTAAAATCAGGGCCAACCCACATATTCTAGCATTTATTGTTGAACACAGTGTAGCATTGTCATTTTGCATCAACAGTAAGCTGTTTATTATTGAACTATGTTCTCCTGGAGGAAAGTGTTGAATCAGCATGTTCCCTTGACTGAAGCGGAGCTATTGATATTTCCAGAGCTGCTCTTTACCTCCCCAGATAAGTCCCACTGAGGAGGACTTTCTTTTGCCCCTGCTAGACAATCCCTACCCAGTGTGTGAGAGAGTAGTGTGCAGCTCTGCGCGGGACATAATGTACCTGTCTATTCTGCCTGACTCTGTCATCAGAGTGAAAGAATGGATTGTCCTGGTCTTTTGTAAGGCTGTTAGGGAAAGGCAGTAATAGTTAACTCACCTAAAGT